TATATAATATATATATATATATCTAGTAGGATACCCGCACGATGCGGCGGCGCCAGATTGTTCCATTCGTTGGATAATTTTTATGCGGCGATTAATTTTTTTTCATGTCAAATAGTTTGTTTCAACTTTTATATAGTTTGTTTCAACTTTTATGTGGATCGTTTTGCGTCAATAATTCCTTTCGGTGAATAGTTTATAGCTACGTACGTATATATATGTATATATGGGGAGGAATAGATTCATATTCAATGTCATTTATTGCTCTGATTTTATTTTACAACTATTTGGTAGCGTGCTTAACCTTATTCTATTCATTTAACCTTTAAATATAATATTATGGCTTACATTATTTCTTAACCTATTCATTAATTTTATTCTAAAAGAAAACCAAATATGAAAAAAAAAAAAAAGCAGTTTATATCGTAATGTTTTCTAAATTTTATTATATTAGAAATCCTTGATCTAACTAATTATTTAAAGGAATTTGAATGTCATTGTATGAATACTCAAGCATGATCAATTGTAAGAGAAATAAATCATTTTGATGGTTACATTAAAAAAATGCAACGATACATTTGTTCACATATCCCTAGCAAGTCATACACATAACCAGCTAAAAAGATTCATGAGTATTACTATTTAATTTATCACCTCCCTATGAAGGTTTTTCCTTACAACTAACAGGTTTAATTAACGTTTTAATTTTATTTTTATTTTTCTGTAAAACATGTAATAAACGTTATGTAAAAAAGTTTATACGTAACTTTTCATACAAAAATAAAATTATGTTAATAAGATAAAAATGAGTACTAAAAAAAATGTAATTCATTTTAATTTATTTTATAACTACCATCGTTACATGTTTTTATTATTTATAATTTGATATAAGTTTTAAATACAAAAACTAATGATGTGATATTTTTTTAGAGCTTTACGGTTTAGCACTTATTTTTTTATATAGTCATAAAAGTTGGGTTGCATGTGTATTTTTAAGCTCTTAATTTCGTTAGAAAAAATAAAAGATCACTATAATATGATGAGTCTTTCCATGAAGATAACTCTAGTTTATTGCTTACCAACGATCTTTAGGCAATATCTCTCACTATTCCACTCACCTCATATAGTAAAAAATATGAGTAAAAAAATCTAAAAATAGAAAGATAAAACAAATTTAGTGATGATGGAACAACTCATCTCACTGTACACAATGAATAAAGCGGGTGATACTTTTTACAGAAGTTGTTAGAATTAGCATTTAATAAAATAACTTCTTTATCTAACATGTAATTAGTATTTAATTTCTATTAATATTAATATTTTTTATTTCCATTTTAAGCGATTAAGTCCAACAAATAAAATCATATACATTCCCATACATAAGAAAATTAATAATCAACACCAAATCAAAAAGAAATTAATAATCAACACAAAATGTCCATATTATTCAAGATTTGATATATACGACAACGTAAAGACTGAATAATACATTATATTTGGTTATCCATCTACTTAAACTTAGCGTTTTTTAACCTTCTTTGGTGTTTTAGCTACTTTTTTAACCTGCAAATCACAAACATATAAAAGCGATTATAGACAAATAAAATCGAACACAAACAAATAAAAATTTATATTAATCAACATGAAAAAATTCTGTATGTAGCATAAGGAACATACATCACAATTATTTCTTGAAATGCTACATAAATTAATAAATAGTAAAAGATATGAAAATATTGTACAGATGTCAATAAACAATATATATTTTGTAAATCGCATTAATCTTATATGTAAGGATGGGAATACATCAAATGTATACATAGACACAAAGTCATATATACATACAGATTTTATGCATACCCATACAGATCTAAAGCACATACATAACCTTAACAAAAAAACATATTTACACCATCAACAAAGAGATCCTCGAAAAAAACCTTAAAGGGAGAAGGATGAGAGATTGAGATGAACAGAGGAATGAAACGCTCCCACGAAGTGTAGAGATCGGAGAGAAGACTGGCGACTTCCGGTTTAATGACTTTCTTCCCATATGATGATTTAATTTCAACCTTACCTGTTACGTCAACACCAAAATAGAAGGTGGAGTGGGGAGAGGCGGCTACTAACGAAGGAGGCCGGATCTAAAAACATTAAACATAAACCCATTAGATATAGATTGATAAGGGTTTGGTGATGCGGTGTTTCAGATCATGGCTACGGTGTCTGATGGTGGTGAGGGAGGCGAAGGCTAGTATTGGCTGGTGTATAGGACTTTTAGAGATGATTACAAAGAAGGGTTTTGAGGTAGAAAGCAAGTGTTTCAAATGTCTGTTTATGTGTTTGTTGAGTTATCAATAAAGGGATGAGTCGTTGGATTGCAGTGGGTATCAATGGACCGTAAAAGCCAGCTTGGCAATCTGTGTGAGTATAGTGTCCAGCTACTTTAACTTTGTTTACATATGTACTTTCCTTTTTTTTCAAAATATTTTAAAACAAATTTGAAGACCACTTTTGGAGCAAAATCGATCAAGCATTGTAAATGAGTACATCATGCTTTACAATTTGTCTTTAAGATAAATTTTTAAGATGTGCTTGATTTCATTGTACATCAAGCTTATATAGTTGTATTTAAGACTTTAAGATGTATGCATTATATATATATATATATATATATATATATATATATATATATATATATATATATATATATATATATATATATATATATATATATATAACCCTGTTTATTTGGGCGCTGATAAACATGACCGAAACGACCAGTTGTATCATAGTTTCGTCATTAGATGGTTGGAAGCGTTCCAACAATCGATTCTTCAATTCCGTCATACTTATAATGTTTGTGGAACCCTACTTACCAAAATTAAATTGATAATTATTAAGGAAATACTAATCTTAATTAAATATAAAAGATAACCCTCTTCATTTGTGGTGGTGATGAACACGACCAAAACATATCAAAGGCTTGTTAAAAAAGATCCACATCATGTAAGGTAGAATTCTCCCTTTGTCAAGTTAGAGGTGTTCACGATTCAGGTCAACTATAACCTGTCCAGTTCATTTGTTAAACTGTTTATTTGGATTGTGTTGTTCTTTGATTTTCAGGTGAAACCAAATAAATAGTTTGTCGAATGTTTTAGTCCCAGTTTTATATATTTTTAATAATAAGTGATTCGCACACAACAATTTTTCTCCATACACAACAATTTATGTTTTATTAGAGTTGTCGAATGTTTTTGTATGGAAATTTTTTGTTGTGTACGAATCAGTACCCATTTTTAATAGGGGCCGGCTGAAGCCCAAACTTTTGCAAATAGTATAAATTTTTTAGTATATAATTCATATGTTTTGGCCTGTTTCACGTGTATATATTTTTTAATTTACTTTAAACTCTTATTACCTTGATATACTTTGACTTGTTTGCACTTGTATGGAACAGCATCTTCCAAATCTGAAGATCTTGGAACTTGATACATTGGATAACCTAATCATGACACCAGATTTTGATAGAATTCCAAATCTTGAAAGACTCATTCTTCGTGGATGCAAGAGTTTAAAAAAGATTCATCCATCGATTGGAAACTTGGAAAGGCTCATTTTCCTGTCTATAGAATTTTGTTCCGGTCTTAAGATATTTCCACCGATTAGGCGACTAAAGAAACTCGAGACCCTTTCATTACCAGATTGCCCCGAACTTTTTAATCTCTCAGGGATCCAACAGAAAAAGAACGGTTTACTGCATCTTCATTCGAATATTAATGGGAAAGAAGTTGCATCCTACAAAAAGTATTCTTCAAACTTTGTCGTTACTTGGTGGACGTGTGGTGACACAAAAATTAGAAACCCAGTAGAGGACCTGATTGATGTAGAAGAATGTTGTTTAGAGGAGCCTTGTTTACCTCACAACAACAATACAGTGTTATGGTTTTTTCCCAGAGGGTTAAGAAAGTTAAATCTCCAGAACTGCAATCTGGGAGATAAAGACATCGACTCTGCTGTTTGGGAGTTTCCCAACTTGGAAGAACTCAATCTAAAAGAAAATAAGTTTTCAAGATTAAATTTTAGTCAATGGCGACTTCCTCAGCTCAAATGGCTGGACGTGTCATTGTGCCGATTACTTGTAGAATTGTCAGAGCTGCCATCAGATATAGCTGTTATTATAGCAGATTATTGTAGCTCACTTGAAAGCTTTGGAGATATTTCAAACTGTAAGTGGTTGTGGAAAGTCTCATTGTGTGGGTACAACAAACTTGGTCCACTTGGTGAAATATTACTAGACTCCATGCTCCAGGTTTACTTTACCTTTACGTTTGGAATTTCACTCTTTATATAAAACTCAAAAAGCAGAATAATTGAACGTGTTTTCCATGGCAGGGAAATGCTCTTGAAGATCACTTTATCAGTGTCAATTTTGGACATACGATGATTCCAAGGGGGTTTATTGGTAGGCTGTTTAAGGGGACAACATTTACATTGTGTCTTCCATATGATTGGTACAATGACTTTTCTGGGTTCTTAATATGCATTCTTACCAACGCAATGCATCCGCGTATAAATATAATCATCAGCCAGGAGGTAGATGAAGATAGTCTACTGGTGCTTTGGCAGGAGTCTAGTGAAGTATCAGATCCTAAATATATGCGAAGTGAGTCAATCATTGGATATGTTTCCTTTAGTTCACTGAGGCACACACCATTGTTGAATTCTTCGTACAATATGATATCATTTTCCATATATGGAAGGCGTCTGAGTGGTTTACCAACTGACACTTATGTTGGATGTGAGCTCATTCCTTGGGGAAGTAAAGGCGGTGAGGTGAAAACAACAGATTGCTCAGAATTATTTTGGGACAAGGAATATGAAGATGGTTCAAACACATTTAAAATCCGACAACATGATTCAAAGTCTTCCGTTGAGATCTTATGGCAGCCTTTCGACATACAGATGGATGGAATTAAAATTCTAAGAGCAAAAGCCTTATTAGCTTCGCAAAAATTCCGTAACAAATTAAAGATGAAATTCCGTAGCTAAAGGTGAATAACTACGGAATTCGTTAAACACATTTTCAATTAGACTCCGTAGCTATATTTCTTGTAGCAAAATTTTTAGCTACGGAATTATAATTCCATAGCAATTTTGCTATGTCTATTACTACGACATCTATTTCCTTGCAATTTGAGTTCCATAGCACATTCGTAGCAAATTTCGTAGTAATTTTTCCGTAACCAATTCTGTAGCAAATTCCGTCGCGATTTTTCCGTAGCAAATGTCATAGCAATTTTTCCATAACCAATACTATAGCAATGTTTCCGTAGCAAATTTCATAGTGATTTTTCCGTAACAAATTCCATAGCGATTTTTCCATAGCCAATTCCGTAGCAATTTTTCCATAGCCAATTTCGTAGTAATTTTTCCGTAACCAATTTCAAAGCAATATTTTCATACCATTATTCAATAAAATCCATTTAATTCCGACTATTTATATCATTTTATAAAAATACAATTAATATAACACAAAAAGTAACGAACATGTTGAATTACAAACTTACACATTTCTAGAAAGCTTTGTTAAATCCTTTTTGTTAGGGTTCAGAACGTCTTCTTTATGTCTAAAGAAAAAGGCGAATCAGAAGATTAATAGTCATGAGAGAGAAACCTTAAGAAGCAAAAAACTAAGACTGCTGTACTAATACTCTAATATGCATAAATTCAAAAATATATTTACAGATTTTCTTCTACTTACCCAATATGATAAATAAGTTAAAAAAAAAACAGTGAACTAAAAATCAGTAGAAGAACCATGTTAAACCATATGTGATATGTCCTAAGCTTTATTAATTTATCTTTATACATCCACTACATCATAACTGAATCCAACATATCATAATATAAAACGAACATTAAAAGTAATGGTGCGTGTTGGACCTGAGAACAATGTTTCATATGCTTTTTCAAATGGGATCCTTCTCCCTCTGGTAATTTCCTCTTCAAACCTGATCCTCCAGATTTAATAAAGCATGAGACTATCAGTCTATAACCTCAACAATAAAAACAAAACAAATTATTATTAAAATCAAATAATGGTAATACAAATTGTTACAAATTATGGGACAGCTATATTTTTTTTAACAGTCTATAACCTTCTTTTTCATAGCACAAAAGTTGCTGTCAGATGTAGAAGGGGTAAGAATTTGATGAACAAGTATTTTAACAGGAAGATTTTCTGTTGTAATTGAAGCACGCAACCTTGATGACTCATTGATTTCCATCACCTTAAATAAATAAATAAAAATATCTAAAATAATATAGGAATTCGATATGCCACCTCCCCTGTATTCTTTTTAAATAATGTAGGAAAATTCTATATCACCTTAAATTCAGTGATGTTTAAGACTGAAGGCTGTAAACACCACCCCCAACACATTTTGCCAGTGGCAAATCTCAATGGTGAATTGTGACAAAAATGGTAAAAATCCCATTTGTCAAAACAACTACCACACACCTTTTAGCCTTAATTAAGTAACCATGCATGTTAAAACTAAGACTTTTCTAAACAAATTCAAATTTATTATATCATCAGTATAGATGCTCTTTGTGATAAATGTTCAAAAAATGACTTTAACCCTAAAAATAGGGCTTATAATTTAATGTTGTTTGACAAACTTCATTGTTTAGAAAATTTACCAGTACATGCAAGCGGGGTCCAAGGTGTGTGAGTGGTTGTAAACAAGCCAACTGTTGAGACATGGCAGAGCACTGCTGTGTGTGCCCAATTTCAGGAAGATGTGATGATTGAGAATATTGACCATGTTGACCATGAGTCAGCGATTGAATATGAAAGTGACCCTAGTGTGGAAGACTTTGCATATGTTGTTTTGATGATGTCTGCTGATGTTCATCATCTTGTGGAATGTGGATGTGCTGAAAATAATTATTCACCAAAACTTATTATCATAATTATTCAAAATTATATAATCAATAAAATGGTGAAAAGTAAAAGATGTGACTTCAGTAAGAGAGCAGTGTCCTTGAGCAAATTGACATTGGAAAAGAATTATCAGCACCAGGAAAAGTATAAACTCAAAACAATAATATATCATCATTATTCATTATCTTCAATATTAATATAAATAAATAAAATCAGCATAGAAAAACCAGAAATGCTTGAAACAAAATTGGATGAAGAACACCTATACTTATGTCTCAGAGCATAAAACTTATAGTCACGAGGTGAAACTGCCACATCACTTCTACCAGTCAACCTTTTGAACCTACATACATCAAAAAAAATTGAATCATCATCTATAATAATAATAATAATAATAATAATATAAATGTATTACTATTAATTATTTTTAAAACGATAATGAATATTATTACCACTCTACATCATCTATATGTGTAATAGTTGGCTTCTCCATGATATCCAAACCATTGACTACAACAAAATGAACTCGTTTCTAAACACAAACTCATCCGGAGACTTAGATATGTATTTTTCTGGAAGCAACCCACTAGAGAATTAGAAACATTACTTCCATATAAAAATTAAAAAGAAGCTCAACAAATATACCTGAGAGAAGTTGGAAGAGGCTCAACAAAAAATCCATGTTGTACGTAAGTGTAATTAAGTAAGTACGAGATAGGCCAGTCACCTGGATCTTTACATCAAGATAGAGATATGAACCAACTCTCCTTCCCCTAATGTGTCTGCATCCCTGTAAAAGTGTAGAATTTTGTATCAGAGTCAGACCATAGTACGTATACTACAACAAACAGGTTAGATTATGATGCCCGAGACAACAAGACCAATTATCAAGGTGGAGGAATTCACAATTATCTTTATCAATTAAAATCATTAGATGAATTATCTACACCAACACAGATTGAGGGTATTAATATCCTTGGTAAACTTCAAATAACATGGCATACAAATTTAGGTGAACCTCGATCGGCGTTTACAAACACAACAAATTCTTGGAAATGTAAGTTGACTTTCTTGACTTTCTTCAACACATGATATTATTTTATCTATAAGTTTAAGCATTTGATTATTATTATTATTATTATTATTATTATTTTAATCATTGTGTAGCCCATTGCACATAAAGAGATTGAATTGAAAGCTATCAAGGTGCCACCTGTCATCATTTTAGAAAAACCGTTCACAGTAAGTACAATTTATTTTACTTGTATTATGTTTAATTAACTAGTTTTAGTTGTGTTAGTCAACTTGCCTCCACTCCTTTGACTTGTAACACCGTCTTTCTGATTGGGTCCCAATGATGAGATGGTATTGCAGCATTCACCAGCTCCAAAATACTGGACAAACAATTTGATTCTTATAAATACTACTAGTAATATAGTTTCCAATTTTCTTTTATATCCAAGAGTAAAAATTACCTCTGGTAACCAGTTTCGAGTCCAGCCCTTAGTATCATGTACGAGACAACAAGACCAGCAAGGGTTTATCCAACTCAGATAACATATCCAACCCTTTCTCCCTGTAATTAAACAAGTCCTTATAGTTATAATACGATGAAACTTCCATTTGTGTTTTGCAATCGGACATGCATACACAAAATTTCCTCTTTTATACCCTTAAGAGCCACTGAAATGGTCTTACAGTTCAACGAAAGATATAAAATCTCAGGGTTCCTTGTAAAGATTCGTCTAAGACCCTACCAATTCTTTTCTCCATTTAACTCACTTTATCAAGATTTTAAGAAGAGGCAGGCAGAAATACGACTAAAATTACAACATTGGCTATCTATGGAGGGTGAAGGATTAACAGGAAACTCCACTAAATCTTCAAAAGCTTCCAAGTTTTGTATGAAATTAATCAGTGAAACTTGGAGATGCCAAATTTTGATAGCTCTGTTCTAGAGGATTAAGAGAGATACAGGACAGAGAAAGCCCTAAAAGAAATTGTAGAAGATTTCACTTCAATATTGATATGGCGATGTTGGGATGAGAGAGGAGAAAAGGAGCACAATCGAGATTTATATAGGTAAAAGGAAATAATCTCACCTGAACATTGGGAATCACTCCAACTTCATCATTCGCATTGTCGGTTCCTATTTCAACCTGCTTCAGAAGGTGGTGATGGACTTACGAATGGCGATGAGTGGTTTTCGTGTGGCTGCTAATGTAATGGTGGTAAAGGGGGATTTATGGAGAACAGATGAGAAACTTGGTGGAGAATTGGATGGAACTAAATTCGAAGCCATAATCGCCAAAATCAGTGAGTCTTTGAGTAGATGGTGATGAAGAAGAAGACCAATCGGAAGGGCTGATGAAAGAAACAACACCTAGGTAGAAGGATGACCGGAAAAAGGCGTGCGAACATCTGCAAATTCTAGGCATTGAAATTAGGGCTATAAATCATACAAATCGAGATATGGAGTGAGGTTTATAGAATGAAAAATACACCTTTTGGAAGAAACACAGGTGGATAAACAGAAGATTATGCGATGTTCTGATATGCGAAGTTGGTGGGGTGCTTATCAGAAGCTTTAAGAAGCATCTGAGTCGGTGTTCTTATCAAAATCTTTGAGAAGCTTTGAGAAGCATCATAAGTCGTAACAATAATAGGTGTATTCTTCATGTTTCTTCTCTTTTCGTCTTTGTCTCAGAGGGAGACTAGGGCTTGAAATTTCTTGATCTTCAGAGTTCCACTAGAGTAGAGATCCGATGAGACGATTAACAAGTAAGGTCACGAGTAGCGGAGAAGCGGATCGGAGAGGAGGGAAAGGGGAGAATCGATTGAGAAGATGAAAGACAGAAAGAAGGTAGAAAAGAACAAGGCGGGTTTTCAAAAATTTGGGGATATCATTTTCCCCCTATCTACTAAATGCGTGTTTATTAAAAGTATAAAGCCACACTTATAGAGGATGCACATTTAAGATATAGTGCCCTTCATCTTTTTAAGTTTTTTCTTATGACACTAATTTAAGGGCACGCAATAATGCGTGACCTAAATCCTTAAATTTATAGAAGAGGTGACACTTTTTTAATGTCACTCTCTTTTGCATAACATAAATCAATGAGTGTCATGGTTTACGCGTCGTAAAAGTGTCTTTTTCTTGTAGTGAACATAATATTTCTATGGAAACTAAGAGAAATATCCAACACATCAAAAGATACTTAAATCAAAATCAAAAATCACTACAAATTAAAACGTTGTTCGATACATAATATTTTATCATTGATTAATAAAAGTTTTGACTTGTTAGCTCAAAGTATTAATTAAAGTCATTGTTCATTGTTCGTGTAAGTTTTTATTCAAAATTTGCTTGAGCATCCATATTTTTATGTTGAATCTTCACATTGTTTTGTTGAGCATCCTCGTATTTTTGTTAAGCGTCCTCATACTTTTGTTGAACAATGCATTAAGCATCTTAGAATCCACAATCTTAGACAAAATATTGAAGACAGTAAACAAAAATGTATAAATCTATAAATAATATGTATTGTGTTTATAAGATATACATTAAAATATTATAGAAATCCAAGATAGATTTTGAAAGATTACAAATATCAATAACATGTCAAAACTAAAATACATGATCACTAAATGTGCTTTAGAGTCAAACTGTTGATATTAAACACATTTTGGTCTATAAACTTACTATTAGTTTGTACTTAGTCCACACTGAGGCTTTTGTTTATACAAGGGTAAAACATATCATGTAAAAAACCATAAATCACTTCTAAATCAAAATTACAAAACTACCATTTAATGAGCTTTAATGACAACATGTCAACTAAACCAAGTATTAAAACTTTCTTGATAAATAAAAAAGAATAAAGAAAGTAGTGTCAATATACAAGTTCAGAAAAACAATAGACATTGTATTGTTTTTATAATAAGTTGTTCAAGCCTTCAAGGACCACAAAGCTTTTAACCCACAAAAGATCATGAATTTTTTTCTAAAAAATATATTTTGAAGAAACAACTAATAATGATATAATATTACTACCTTCAGATAACTCTTTATCTTTGGTTTGTACATGTTGTTTGTTCTATATTTCTGAAATCAAAGCAACAGAATAACATCAAAGATGAACTTTGACTCTGGTGGTCAAACCGACTATTTTGAGCACCTTTATCCTAAAATGTCAACATGTCACACTCTAAAGGCCAAGATTTCCTTTTTAGGGGTTGTTTATGAGTAATGATGTTAGTTTGGATAAAGTGTTGTATATATAAAGTTAGAATATTTTCGTCTGAATGAGACTAATTGACCATTTTACCCATACGTTCTAGAGACAAATTTCACAATAGTGTCTTAATACATTAAACCAAGTATTTTCCAACTTAACCATTAAGTCATTGTCCAGATTGAGTAAAAAAGAAACAACTATAAATAAATATCCAAATTAAGTTCTTAACCAATCAATTGCTCACATACATGCAGATGACTTTTCACATGATGAATTGTAAAACATTCAATATTCATGAGCTTCAAAACTCCTTTTGGTATAGCTCCTTCAAGGTTAAAGACAAAAGTCAGCAAAAATTATAAGCATACACTCATGACTTCTTAATAAAAATATTTTTAAAATTTATATGTAAAATAAATACTACAACATTAATTAATACACACTTTCACTACCACCAAGTTTGTTGACTCTTTCGACAAAGAATTCATGGAGTTCTACTGTCCAACTCATGCACTCCTATTGCAAAGCCAAGCTACTTGGCACATGCACTCCTATTACAAAACCATATGTCTACACAAAGTATAAAAAATGTAAGAACTTATATTGTATTTATAAATCCATATTTAGCTAAAAATTTTACACATGAATAACAAATTTGTGAAGTTATAAGTGTTACTCGTAGCTAAATTCCAAATAAAGAAGCTAATTTTTTTTTTTATGATAGTGATCCATCATCCAATGATTACTGAAGAACTTCTTTTCTTTTCACAAAGTCAATGGATCAATGTTATTAATTGATGCATCCACTATGCCTGTAATTATTTTTAGAGGTAAACCAATTTTTATTTTTATGAGAATTTCAGAGAAACTGACTTTTTGGTTGATAAAACGAACATCTGCTAAAGTAGGTCGTTAGTAGCTTTGCACCTTCTTCTTTAGCCATAACAATAGCACTATCTTATTAAACAAAGCGAATCGCTCCTTTCAACATTATCACCAACCGAACTGAAAATTGAAAAAAGAAGAAATTGATGGTTAATTATAAGGTAATTTACTTTGCCAGCTACTGTAACAACTAGATCAATCTACACACAATGATTTCAATCCAAAAACAAGATGAATCGAAACAAAATTAATAGAAACTCAAAATTATTATGAAAAGACACTACTAGAAAAAGTTTAATAGAGTACGGTTGAAATTGTAAATATAGTACGTACATAGAGGGCGTATAGAGGGCGTATTAGTAGAGGGGTGTATTAGATTACATGCATAATAGAGTACGGCTATTTGACCGTATTATATTATCCTATCTACTTTTTACAACCATCGCATACAATCATCTAATACGCCATATATGCACATCTAATACACCAATACACAACCGTACTTGATGTCTCAAGTGTCATCTAATACGCCAAATATACACATCTAATACACCAATAAACACATTTAATACACCAATAAACAACCGTACTTGATGTCTCACATCCCCTTTGCATTCCAGAGCCTTATTAAACAGACAATTCCACTCCAATTCCACTCCGGCCTTATTAAACAACCAATTCCAGTCCATGGATGTTGTGGAACACATGGATCACCATTCCAACTGAAACAAACTTTTCAATTTCTGCAAAGCTACTATATGATTACCGTGTGAATTGTAACCGAAGGATCAATCTCTACAAAATACAAACCTACTATATGATTCCATTCCAACCATAAGAAGTGGGACATCACTGATCATGTTTTCATTCTCAAAAATAGAAAAAAAAAATTACAATGAACTTAGTTCATTAAACAGAAAAAAATTTGTTAATGTCACATCTCTAACCTCTCTTTCCTCTTTGTCACCTCTAACCTCTCTTTCCCCTTTGTCACCTCTAACCTCTCTTTCCCCTTTGTGGTTGATTCATTGTATGCCTACAAAAATTAACAAGAAAACTTAGGATTCAAAATCTCAAATAACTTTTAACGAAGAAAACTCAAATTATAGGACCTTCCTGCCATTAACAACTTCATCTATAGCAATGCAAGGGTGAAAACTTCTCCAGAACATAAAAAATATGAGCAAATACAACATGAAATACAATTTGTGTACCTTACAAAAAGGCTTCACTTTATCACCAAAAGTTCTCATCCATGTTTTAACACGTTCCTCCAATTCCTCACTAGAAAATGCTTTTTTGTCCTTCCAAATATTCTACAAACAAATTAAGATAAAAAAATTTGTTATTTAACAAAGGTGAGCCTTTATTACAATAAAATAAAAATGAAAAAAAAATATCTAACAATTAGAAATAGTAAAACATAATAATATTATAAATAAGAATAAAATCAAGCATACCTCAAACTCTTCCGTGGATTTTAGAACAAGGAAATTTTTCCACATTGCTTTGTCAAGGTACGGGTATTTTTTTACTGGATTGACACCATTGTCCCACAACTTAAGAAGCTCCGACTTATAGGCCTTCCAATGCGTGTTGCAATCTCTAAGTACTTGTGCTTTATGATCATCATCTCATATATGCCAATGATTCTGCTTTTTTAAATAAAAAATGAAGATAACAACTTTTAGGTATATGATATGATACAACTTGTATGATAGAAGAGAATAACATGGCAGGAAATTGTGATTGCTAGTATTAAATGATATCAAAAGTGTGCTGAATTGAGTTTTACCTTTATGTTTAACCACAATTGATCTTTGTCACATTGATCCACTAAATCCCAACTATCTATCAGGATAGAAATCATCTTCCTCGTAGTCACTCCACGATAACTGGTGAACTTAAAGCGGTTAGGTCCAATAGCTCTACCAAATTGATCGAACTCAACTGTTAAATTTGATAGATATTCTTTGGAGTGATCTCTGATCAATGTCACACTTCTCTTTTTCTTTTCTGGACGTTCCATTGTGTTCTTACAAAAGCATAAACACTCGTATAATTAATTCGAAGAGTCTCGAACACCAAAAAAAACCAAAATTTTATATAAAATTGAAGATACCCAAGGTAAGTTTATACCTGGCTTGAAGATGTTTCGTTTTGGGTTTACCAACACTTCTTTTTCTGGTTTTTCTTTCTACCATACGGATCCTCCTGCTCTTGGTTGTTTTCACTAGTACCTCATCCATATGTAATGGAAAATTTCCGATGTATAACCTCAGACCTGGTTATAAGAAAATGAGCATAAAAATGATGATAGAAAATGATGAGGGTAAAGATATGTTAAAGATTATGACTTAATCCAACTAATGAGAAGATTATGACACGTTTTTTTATAGTAGATCAAAACATTAAAAAAAAATCATACCAAAAAAATGTGATAGAGACCTTGATGGTTATATAACATAAAAATAAGGACCAAAACTGTAAGAGAAAGCTTTTAAGGACCAAGATAGCTACCATTGGCACTCTCAAAAGAAATATGATGCAATTTATAATCAAATACAACAAAAAAGAATTACATTTGATGGAAAAAAACAAATATGATGCAATTTATATTCAGCCCATATTGATGGGTACTGCAAGAATGGTCAAATAAAGGCAGTTGTCCGCATGGCAAATTTTGTGTGAGGTTTTTGGGCATACGGTAAGATGTTTGAATGCTATAAATGTAGGAAAGACAACTAATTTTATATAATATTTGTGTGAGGTTTAGGCTCCCATTAATTCAGCCCATTTGTTTTTATCTATTTTGACAGGTTAATGGTGTAGCACAATTGCACAGTGACATCTTAAAGGCAGAGTTATTTGTAGATTATGTGTCAATATGACCAAACAAGAAATTTGGGCATTACTCCTAGAAGTTGGCTCAGATTTTGTAGTCCTGAACTTAATCAGATCATAACAAAATGGTTAAAAACAGACAAGTAAAACGCATTAATTCCATCTGCAGAAAATAGGTATCTAGTAACTACTTGTGGGTCGGCAGGAGGTACAAGTAACTAGTTTAAGTGCAATTAGATTATCTCACAACCTGCTCTTCCCTAAGCTTAATCTTTAACGCTAACCAAAAAATTTCAAATAAGAAACTAAGGTTTTTGGAGGTGTGTTGATTTTGACCATGAATGGTGATTTCAAACCTTGTAGATTAAAGAGATAAAAGTATGGAAGCAAAACCACCTACCTTTTGGACTTAATCTAGGAGAACTTGAAGAAGGTTTGAAGTTTTATGATGCTATGGATGGTTTTCCACCAAAGAGGTTAGAGAGAATGAACAAAATAAGATGCTGCCAAACTTCTAATTCCCTTTCATTTACTTTCATTCCTTGTAACGTGTTCATATGCATTGACATCTGTTTGAGAGTGCATTAAAACTGTCATATCCTTTTACAAGTTTTCAAACACACCCTGGCTTGGACTAAATCAAATATTACACTCTTGTCATTGCATGCATAGTACACTCTTTTGAAAGGGTATCTAATATTCTAATGTGTTTATATTTACAATAATTATGTAGATTTATAAAGAAAATAATGCAAGTAGAATAATTTCAGCAATCAACTATATCCTTTGCAAAATGTAGCTTAAGTTCAACCTTGAACAATTTCAAATTTCCTTATTCAATTTCAAACCTTCATACAAAAAGCTAATTTCACAGCAAATAGTGATTCTGTGTCACATAAGTGGCAAAATTGTGGTAACCTTGAAATCAGTTAACAGTGATGGGTTTTATACAAACAATCCTATGTGTGCATGCAACCCTAGTATTGGATCTATGTTTTCACTATTAGTTATACAACTTTATGAACACAAAAAGAAACCTGGCATGCTACTATAATTTTCGAAAATCATATATAAAGCTAGAATACATACCTTTTTGTTGCTATATAGCAATAACAACTAGTTCCTTGAATTTCCTTAGCTCTTGAAAGCAAGTACCACAAGTGTAGTACCTCTAATGGAGTCACAAACACCATATGCAACTTGGATGAAGAAGAGAAGAAAAGGAGGCACCAAAAACGGCTGGAAACCCTAATGGAAGTGTTGTCCACGTTTTTGGGGCCTAAGGGGTCCTTTATATACTAGTGTGGGCTTCTAGGGTTTCAGTCAAAACCCTAATGGACAGCTTAAACTCTAAGCAGCCCATGGAACCTTCTGGACAAGGCTATGGACGAAAATATGATGGGCTTCCATCATAATTTCGTTCACCCCTTATTCCTATAGCATTCCTTAGCCCAATAACTCAATTATCCAATAATTGCAGTCCAGTCCCCTATATTTAATTAATCTCTTTTAGCCACAAAATTAATTCTTAATTAATTCTTGACTAATATTAATTAAACAATATGATTTCTCCTTTAATATATTATTCTCATAATATATTAATAAATCATATTTAAACCTTAATCTCCTTAAATCATCCTACATATTGCTATGGTGAAGGCAACCCAAAAGGACCATGCTCATAATCGGGTCAAGTACATACCAAAATAGTTATGGACTTAGACACTAATCCAACAGTCTCCCACTTGGATAAGTCTAATAACTATTTTCCGTATGACTTCAGAACCTGATCAGCAATCGTAGCTTTCAAAAGCCGCTGTCAACTCTGATCTTATCAGATAACGTGTCCTTTAGATAAGGGATTATATATTCCTCCATTCTCAAGATATCGTATAGACATAAGACATGAATTTCAATCATTCTCTCTATACTGTTTCCCGACTTCCGATTCATGACGACTGATAACAGACTACAATTGAACACATCAACTTAGTCCCGGCTTGGCCAAGCGCTTAGGTGTCATCACTAAATCATCGAGAGGCCCATAGATATCGCTTTTATCCCACTTTGGGTAAAAGGAATGGATAAACTTCGACTCAAATGCTCGCTTGTATTTACTGATCGAATCACACACAACAATAAGTTTTATAACACCAAGTTACTGGTGCGTTTACTTATTATCAATGTGTAACCGATTAACAAATAACAACTCACACGTCTCGGTTTCAAGAATATACAATATTATCGTCTCACTAATCACTCGTGATAAATCCATGAAGTGATCCAAGTGAGCGTGGGTTTAATCCAATACTTTAATCTTATCAAAGCACTCACGAACTCTGCAGCAAACTTGTGCCATGTCTAAACACTTCAGACAATCTACAGACAGATTCATGACAGTCTTTATTCATACCTACTCCCAACGTATGACCAACTGTGGATGTTTGAATAACCTAGTTATTCTGGAAGTCAAAACATGCAAATTGAAACATGACAACAATACTTAATCCTATATGGCCTCAAACTTGTGAGAGTAAATAAAACCCTTCTATTTATCCACCATATTGATTACTCATTATTTATCATTTAATGTTTCGGATAATCAACTCATTACTTGAATTATACCAACAATTGTCCCATGCTCTAAACATGCACACTTTGTTTCCTATGGTCCATGCTTTGCGAAATAGATCACCTGAAAACTTTTCCAATGATGCTCATTTCACAATTCCTTAATCCTAATTATTAGTGTAAGAACACAAGGTTCTTGCCACTACTAGAATATGCTAGATTCTAACATTTTATGCAACGATCCCTTTGCAAAATCATAGCACAAAAGTCACCAAGACGTAGCTAATGAAATTACAAAGTACTTTCTTAGAAATTGTTACAAGACAATTCCATAGATGTGAAGTCTCACATTCAAAGTACATTCCTTTGAACATCCTTCTTGCATAAAAGTTTCTAATCTAGGCATAGACTCTCAATATCCAACTCCCAATATGGAAACATTTCCACATTTGCCATATGACAACTCATTCTTAATAGAATCTTATCTATTCATAATAATGTCGATATGGTCCATCCAATACCATACTTCCAACTACTTACAAGCGATCAATCCTCAGCGAACTTTGGATCGTCCTTTGATAGTTGTTAAATTCTTTCAGTCAAAACCAATTCTATTCCTTTTTCCCTCTTAATGCGCTAGACATTTGGAAAATTTTAGAATGGTAAAATACTATAGCATTTACAATCGATCCTATACCCGAAGCGTATGGGACACGATGCATAATGTCTTACATAAAGATATGATACTTTACCAATCTTTTGCCATAATATTTTATGTGTCATGTTCTCACAATTCGAACTATGAAGAGGGATGCCGTAATCATAATCGAATTTTAAGAACACACAATGTATCCTTTGACTGAAAATATTAAAATTTCTTAATCTAAGCTTTAGATTTGAAACGGAGTATAATATTCTCTCCCTTAATTATAGCAAAACAACTTTTCAACCCATGCAACTTTGCAAATGGAATCTTTGTTTTTCTATAATTAATATTGCTAACTTGCAATACTCGCCATAACAATCATACAAGCATAACACTTATGCTCCCACTATCATGATGATTATCATATAAGCATAACATTTATGCTCCCACTAGCTTTGACATGAACTTCCAGAAAACAATGCCTATTGAATCTCTGAAATTCATATTTCTAATACCAGATGCTTCGATAAGCCTTTATCTAAGCTTCTTAACCTTATACACCTTTGCCTTAGATAGCTCATATGTGTGTTTAAACAATTCATAACTTATGTTACTAAGTTCCAAATGTTGAAACTAATTGCCAAATCTCACAATTCGAACTATGGAAAGGGATGCCGTAACCATAATCGAATTTGAGAATACAATTTTCACAATTGCTATCTTCTTAAAATCTCTCTTAGTGAAAGCATTTCCTCACAGTCATTTTCATGAAGGAGGGAATCTTATGACACTTAGATTTTATGGTGTATGAGTTCCTATCCATGTGAATTTGCCAAAACCAAGGTTTGCGACAAATCCAAACTCATATGGACTGAACTTTCTTAATCTTGATTTCTTGCCCTATGGTAACACGAGTGCCCACCATGCCTTCCAAGTAGTTTAGTAACTTGTCCTTACATATCAATTTACTTTCCATCGACTAAGGCTTTAGTGTGTATTCAAATGAGAACTCATAGAACTCATATACACAATTAACTCAATTGGAATGGCACAGAAACAAAACAATGTCAGCACGATAGGTTGTAAACCTCAAGTCGTGTGCTAGTGATGATCGATAAGGTTTATTCTTGATTTGTTCTTGAAACTTTTCAAGACCATTAAGACTCCCACTGACTTCTTGACATATAAGATTCTCTTGTCAAGAAACATTTCTTGACAAACAAATATTCAAGAGTTAGTGAAGCATTTATCAAGACAAAACACTTCACACAATTGGTCCTAGTTGGTCTTTGTCTTATCCAAGACAGCACAACTTACCAATTTCAAATGTGCAAGAATAAGAAAACTTTTCCAAATTCCACATTTGATGAGTGTTATAAACCTACTTAAGACTTTTCACTCAATGTCACAATCTTGACTTTAAGACTTGATATTGGAACGAAGTATGATTGACTTCTTGATTTAACCATTTCTACAATACTTGATTCCTCTTCTTAGACATGCAATTGCACTAAGACTCACTTAGAGGATCTATTGAGACATGGTTCTTAATCTTTAAGACTTATCATAAAACACAATAAAAGGTACTCTCCCTTCTTCCTAGAAAAGAGAAACTTTTATCTTTCTGCCTACTCGATTCTTCTTTATTCGTTCTACTATTCATTGAAACTCTTTCAATCAATCTCAGAATTACACTTAATCTTATAAGTATAATCACATTTACTAAACTTTAGTAAATCATGACGAATATCTTTGTCACTCTTGTGGTGGACTTGATCAACACACAACCTTGTGTACTTGACCTCCTTGTCCTTTAATTGACACTTTGCCAAAGAATTAGTCTAAGTTTCCCAAATGTGAAAGTTTTCCATTCATCATACAATACACATTGCATGATTCCAAGTTTCTGTCCAATTGAAACTTGGGCGATGAGAAGCTCTCCTTACTTGGTAAACTCTTGACACTTCCACAAATAATACAATTAAGAATCAAATCCATTATTTCTAATAATAGAAACATTCAAACATCAATTTTTCATACATGCCATTGCAAGGATAAATAAATAAGATAAAATCAAAATTTATTTTATTGCGGAAAAATTTGTCCTTACAATGTAATTCAATTGAAAAACTATGTTATTACATATTTCTTAACAATCTATTCTAACTCCAAGTAGTAGCTCAAGAATCCATTCTTCAAGTAATGCGATCGAAATCCATTTCTTCATGATTAGATTCAGCTCACTTCTTTTCTCAAGCTTCCTCTCTTTTCTTCGATCCTACAAAACATCAAAATGTAATCTTATCACATCATGTATTAAGAATCTAGAATAGGAACTCAAAAGAGTTAGATAATGGATTTTACCTGAAGTAGAGCCATACGTCTTGACTCTCCCATCTCTTAGATCTCTCAGGTAATTAGGGCAGCTTCGTCTCCAATGCCCCTTCTCTTGGCAATAAAAGCAAATAGACTCCTTTGGCACAACACATCGGACAATCACAGACTTAGTTCTTTCTGGACTTCCAATGTTGCCAGTGTCCATTGAAGTTTGGGAGTTTGATTCACTAGACAAATTTGCTTGACCAGCACGCCAAATCATTGCTGATTCAGCAGCTATAAGCAAATAGGTGAGATCAATTAGGGTCACGTCGTGGTCCATCATATAGTACTCTCTAACGAACTCACTATATGATTCAGGAAGTGACTGAAGAACCCAGTCAACAGCCAACTCACTTGAAATCTCGACACCCAACATGTTTAACCTATCAATGTATGACTTCATCTCTAAGACGTGCGCACACACAGGTTTCCCATCTTCGTGTTTACTTGCCAAAAGGGCTTGAGTGAGCTTGAACTTTTCAAGCCTTTGAACTTGTGGGTCAGGGAGAATAATTGGAGGAGGTGGAGGAAGTGAAGCATGACTCTCATTTCCTTGATCGTATCTCGGAACGTCATCTTCATTTGGAAAGCTTGTTCCAAAGGATTTGGGAAGACCATTGTAAGATTCAGACATCTACAAAACGGGAGAAAATTCAAGTTAAGTTGATTAGAATTCTTGATGCAACACCCAAATGAAACATCAAGCTAGGATCCAACACAATACTCTACAACCTAGAAGAGGGATGCCGTAATCTAGTTGCAGAATATTTGAAGGTAGGTAAATGACGATTTACCAATTTCCACCATGAAAAACGAAAAAGAAGTTTAAGTTTTAAATGAATTGAAACTCCTAGATCTTTTGAGACTCATTGAACTCTTCAATGGCATGTTTAATCTCGATTATGCCCTACTATTCGTGACTGGGATGCCGAGGATCACAAACAAGGTGTGAATAACCATACGAATCACGTGGTGCACCCAATGCTACTATCACCTAATCAATGTGCCGGTTAGCCACACACGCTCCATTGATCTATGATAAGCATCGAGCCACCCTTTGCCACCAATGTCATCCCCAAATTAGTGTGCCGGTTAACCACACACGCTCCACTAACGTTTGACAAGGGTACGAAGTGTAATTCCATGGGTTAGCATACAATTTCACATTTTGCCTAAAGTAACTATGATTTGGGAATTTGAAAAAGCATTTAGTTACTTTGTACTTCATTATACTTATAATGGAAGGTTTCTGTCCTATCCTACCCGTTCGGCTAACGACCCTCCACTAGTCAAGAGTGCGGTGGGTAAGAGTGGATACCCATTCAATCGCCATTTTATAGGCAATTTCCTTAAACACCCCTTATAGACTAGCTTCGTGAATGAGGCCTACTAACGGTAAGACTGAATTTTTAGTTATACATATATAATATTAAACTTTTAATGTTATATATAGTATAAGGGTGTATTTTACACTTTTAAAATACTAGGTGGTTTAAATTATACTTTTAATTAACCAAAATCATTATGGATTTATTAAATCTCTTTTAATTATACACTTAATTAATTTAATAAAACCATAAGGGTTTAATTTGAACTTTTCAAAATCAGGGTTTTGGAATTTAGACTTTCAAAATTAACTTTTAATCAACAATTTAAATTCCAAAACTTGAGGGCAAGTTTTGAAACTCTTCAAAACAATTAGGTTTTAATCTCACTTAAAATTTTCGAATTTAAGACATTTAAATTAAAATTTTAAATATTAAAACTCTTGATTTAATAATTACCATAAATTAAACAATTAATTTAAATTATTAAATCACAAGGGATTATCTAGATCATGAGGATAATTACAATTATACATCTAAGATATCCTAATCCCTTGAATCCCTCTCTAAATCTCGAAAATAAGGGATGGGATAATTCAAGATCTTTAATTACCATATTTAACAATTAAAAGATAATTACAAGATATGGGATTATCCAAATCCCTAAAATTTAGGATCTAACCTTGGGGAAGGAGGTAATTTCGAAATCCAAGGGTTGGATAACCCTAGATTTCAAAATCTTGGAGGCTAAGGAAAGGATTTGGGAAACCCTAGCAAAAATCGCCATCTAGGGTTTTGCAACCCTAATTGCGAAAATTACCTAGCCTTTAGGGTTTATTAGCCATAAACCCTAATATGTCAAGTTCACAAATTTGAATAAAAGCTAATTGAAAACAAAAACCAATGGCTCTGATACCACTGATGGGTTTTATACAAACAATCCTATGTGTGCATGCAACCCTAGTATTGGATCTATGTTTTCACTATTAGTTATACAACTTTATGAACACAAAAAGAAACCTGGCATGCTACTATAATTTTCGAAATTCATATATAAAGCTAGAATACATACCTTTTGTTGTTATATAGCAATAACAACTAGTTCCTTGAATTTCCTTAGCTCTTGAAAGCAAGTACCACAAGTGTAGTACCTCTAATGGAGTCACAAACACCATATGCAACTTGGATGAAGAGGAGAAGAAAAGGAGGCACCAAAAACGGCTGGAAACCCTAATGGAAGTGTTGTCCACGTTTTTGGGGCCTAAGGGGTCCTTTATATACTAGTGTGGGCTTCTAGGGTTTCAGTCAAAACCCTAATGGACAGCTTAAACTCTAAGCAGCCCATGGAACCTTCTGGACAAGGCTATGGACGAAAATATGATGGGCTTCCATCATAATTTCGTTCACCCCTTATTCCTATAGCATTCCTTAGCCCAATAACTCAATTATCCAATAATTGCAGTCCAGTCCCCTATATTTAATTAATCTCTTTTAGCCACAAAATTAATTCTTAATTAATTCATGACTAATATTAATTAAACAATATGATTTCTCCTTTAAATATATTATTCTCATAATATATTAATAAATCATATTTAAACCTTAATCTCCTTAAATCATCCTACATATTGCTATGGTGAAGGCAACCCAAAAGGACCATGCTCATAATCGGGTCAAGTACATACCAAAATAGTTATGGACTTAGACACTAATCCAACAAACAGCTGATCAACTAACTCGATTAGAATAGAATTAGAAAGTTTGGCAACCAAGAACTGAATCATTAATAATAGATGAAGTAGTTTTATATTTATATCCAACAACTTAGCATAATGGGATTTACAGAATAACTATAGCACTACTCGTGTATACAGCTTCTCTTAAACCAGGAAGTGAGGTGTCACAGCATATAAGTACAGCTGGAATGGAAGCTAATGGGACAAGTAATATGAAATTTGCACTCAATGGATGCCTAATTATAGGAACATTAGATGGGGCTAATGTTGAAATCAAGAAGGAAGTTGGAGAGGGAAATTTTTTTCTTTTTGGAGCAACAACAGATGAAGTTCAAAACAGAGTCGATGAGGCTTTCTAGGGTTATCAACCAGAAATATGAAGTAATATGTTGTACACAGAGAAGACATTGTCATAAACATAACATTAATCAACGAATAAATCAACTACACCCAAAGTCCGAGCGTACCTGTAAACAACGTGAAAGGAGGCAGAAGCGGCTGTAGGCCGGAGTAGGAGACTTCGTCTGTCTCGTCGACCCGAGACCGGAGGCGGAGGCGTCGTCGGCCGAAGGCTAAGGTTTCGTCGTGGAAGAAAGTCAAAATCTCTATTTCTTACGTACCTGCGAACATCCGTCTAAGTTTTAAAATAAACGTAATGAACAACTTTGTTATTTAATTTTTTTATTTCAAGTATTTTTACTCATAACAATCTCCTATTGAATTTAATTGCCTCATGGTATTTTCTTCCCTTGTACTCGACATGGAATATATCAAAGCATTAGTATAGTAACATGACTTGGATAAGATTAAATACGAAATTTTAGTGTTTTTTTTTCCTAACACTGTGATTTCTTTTCTTCATTCAACAAACTGTTTTTTTTTATCTGAAAACCAATAACAAACCTAAAATAATAAAAAATAAAAATAAAAAAAGTCACTTGTGTTACCCCACAATTCTTCTTACATGAAACAAATCATAAAAAATAAAAATTAGGATGAAAATACAGCAAAGGATAAAATACAGAAAATAGTCAAGTGGGTGAATCAATAAACTGAACAAGAACTGCTACACTTATTATTATTAAAATTGAGGGATAATATTGACCTTTTGGCACAGTTAGTCTACAAAACTACAACTTTCTGAAGGATGAGGGCAAAATGGGAATTCGTTTATTGCTTGAACTGGTTGCCCAAACCTTGGGTCATTCCTAAGCTCTGTCCAAGATCGCCCATTCGCGCTTTCATGGCCTATAAAGGGGCAAAATGGTCAAATTAAAAATATATTACCCCAAGGGTAAAATTGTACTTTTATATCATCATACAAACCTGGACACTTTTTTGATGCACATCTCTATATGCTTCTGTTATGTACCTCTCTTTTGTTATGTACCTCTCTTTTCTTTTCTATGACAGGAATGGAATCAGTCATTCCATTCGTCTATCAATTCCATTCCTTTGTGAATAATGGTTTTGTGAATAATCAGTCATTTTGTGTTTCTGGACAATAAAAATGGATTCTACTCAGCAGTGTTAATTTTAATTTTCTAGTCATTTGATTTTCAAGTTTTTACATTTACAATATAAGCTTTTTATACTTTAGACATTCAATTGTTTAATTATTTAAGTCACCAATCATAAAATAAATAAATAAATAAATAATAAAAAATAAAAAATAAAAAACATCCGACTTTCCATTTGTTGACTTTTTGACCGACTTTGACAGAGCCCAATATCAAAATGAAGACCGAAGAGGAGTATGTTGAAATTTCTATAGCCCTTGCTTGTTGTTTCTTTATGTATAGATAACAACATCTAACAGAAGCAAATAACACAACACATATAATAACCAAAGCAATTAACACATCTATCTAACAACTGCAAAGCCAATTACTGTTTGAGAAAAGAATTGTTATCCCAACAGTTTGTGATGCTTAACTACTCCATGACTCAAAATTCTATCAACAATTACTATAAGAATTTTTTGAGACTGCTGATCAGGAAGCCTTAGAGGAAGATATGCCAAAATGACCATATTGTCCTTTTTAATTCTGTAATCCTTCTTTGATGTACCTGAAAGAAACTGGGCAAACCAAACCATGAATGAAAGGGCATTTTGGTCATTTGATCAACACTCAACTCAAGACATTTTTAATGAATCCATTAGTGGCATCTCACTAGGAAAACTTTGCATCTCCATCAAAGCCAAAACGCTTCCTTTTCCTTCGTGAACAGTTGTAGTTCCTTTGTATTTGTATTTCTGCTCTTATTTTTCTGTTGCAAAATCAAAAATCAAATCTCTTACCTTTAAATTTGAATTGCTACCTGTGTTTGTCTATTGCAAAAACAGAAATCAAAGCTCTTACCCTTTAAATTTGAACCGCAGGTCCGGTGGTGGGATTTTCAGGTTGGTTGAATTATTGGAGGTGCCAGGCGAGGCGAGGCTGACCGATGATGATGGTGTTGCGACAGGGGAGATGGAGATGGAGGACCGATTAGTGTGGGAGGAGGAAGCTAAGTATGTGAGGAGGAGGAGGCGTATTCAATTTAGGTATTAGCCGTAATTAATCAAAATGGGGGTGTATTTTTAGTTATTTGATTTTGTTTCTAGTACATCTCATTAACCGTATTAGATGCTGCAATTAACCGTATTAGATGCTGCAATTGTGTGTAATATATTTATTTATCCCTTTATAATACGGGTTTTTTTACAACCGTATTAAATGGGGGTGTACTCTATAGCCAATTTTCCAGTAGTGAGAGATGATATGAGCAAAGAAATTGCATCTGAAGCTGAACCTTATAGTACGATTAGCTTAAAAATGTTTTACTATCACAAATCAGATAAGCAACATCTTAAGCTTCAAACTTAAAGGTTTAGTGATCATTGTTACGCATCCATTATGAAACATTGATATAGATCATCATAGCCTAATAAAAAACGAAAGTTACCGCTAACAAAAATGAAATTCAATATAGTATTGATTCAAAATATATTACCTAGTGATTGACGGAGAATCGAGAAACGTACCTACTGATTCCGGAGCAGGCGGCGCAGGGCGCCGGAGTAGACAAGAAGAGTGAGAGGACTGCAGAATGTGTCGAAGCACACATGGAGCACGCCAATTATCTGAAAAATGATAAAAGTCCTACGACTATGGCGGAAGTGGAGACTAAGGGAACAGGGGAACGAAGATGATTAGGGGATCCTAGTTTAGGTCAAAAAAATTTAATAAGAGTTAATTAATTTTTTCCTAAAAGTATTATATAAATTAATTATTCATTATTACTAAATATATGTAGTTTTTATTAATATAAGTTACAAATAATATATATATATATATATATATATATATATATATATATATATATATATATATATATATATATATAGGATATAGATCCGGTAAGAAATTTTTTTTGGTAGGAAGGTAAGAAGTTTTTTTTCTACATATTTTTTTAACGAACAAAAAAAATGAATCACTAGATGATTCATTTGTAAGATGATTCACAAGAAAAAATTCTCAAAAAAACATCTATATGATTCATTTTTAAGTAAATTAAGGAAAAATTCACTTTTATGATAATTTTAGTGAATAACAACAAAATCATTATATAAATGAATCATCGAGATGTTTTTTTGAAAATTTTTTCTTGTGAATCATCTTACAAATGAATCATCTAATGATTCATTTTGTTTGTTCGCGAAAAAAATATATAGAAAAAAAACTTCTTACCTTCCTACCAAAAATTTCCTTCTTATTTGATCTTGACTCTATATATATATATATATATATATATATATATAAAATTGGATCGCTTAGTATCGGTAATATTATATTAATAAAAAAAGTGTCCAGTATCTTTTTTTGAAATTACTAGTTTGTGTTGATCATTTTCCTCTTTAAATTATCATGGATACCTTTTTTTCTTTTAAATATATTACTAGCTTGTCTTTAAAAACAATTTTATATATTTTTGCAAGGGAAACATATTTTATAACTACTTGACCACGGAATATTTAGTAGCCAACTAGCAATGGATTTGATTCCGTAGCCAATTCTCTACCCAAGTAACTACGAATATAAATTTTATAACTAGTTCCATAGCGAACTAGGTACAACCAAAATTTCATAGCATATTTTATAGTAAAATAGCTATGGTTTTCGATTCTGTAACAATTATTTAGGATTTAGCTATGGAATGCAATTCCGTAACTATTTTTGTAGCAAAATAGCTATGACAAGCCATTTTGTTGCATATTCCATAGTAAATCAGCTACAAATTTTGATTATATAGCAACTTCCCTAGCTATTCTAGATTTAGCTACAAAATGCAATTTCGTAGCAATTTTCGTAACAAAATAGCTACGGTAAGCTTTTTAGTAACCTATTCCGTAGTAGACTGGCTACGGATTTTGATTCCGTAGTAATTTTCCGTAGCTATTTAGGATTTTTCTTGTAGTGTTAACTCACTTTCTGAAACTTCTTCTTTTGCATGTTCTCATTTGATAACGAGTGGTAACGTGTGTTTTTGAAAACCAATTTCTACAAAATAACATTTCCATTCGTCTCCCACTTTCCCCCTAATTCTACCATTATCACTACAAGAAACCCGAGTATTACCGGCGACGCCTTTAGCAGCGACATGGGTCAATAGCGGCAACATGTAATTGATGCGTTACATGTCACCCTATTGACCCATGTCGCCGCTAAAGGCGTCGCCGGTAATACTCGCAAACGGTGATCCGCGTCAACTTACCCCATCCGTCCGATTTGTTTTCATTCCAACGGCTGTACAGGAAAGTGAAAATGCGCTGACTTTTCCCTCCAAGGTGTCGCGGCTATTGCCCAATTGCCGCCGCTAATACCCTAGCATCGCCGCTATTGCCTGTCACCGCTAATACCAAGCGCAGATTACCCCCCTTCCAATTCCCTTTTTTGCGACATTTCTCTTGTTTCTTTGCTTCTCTCGCTCTCATTTCTTGTTCTGCTTCTCAAAAAATATTGGACCTGTCAATTAAGTGGAGGAAGAACATTAAGGTGGTGCTAGCCCTCCTGCCACCACAAGGCTGCCACTTCTTCTCCCGTTACCGGCTACCATTGAGCTCATTTCCAAAATTGCCCTCATTCAAGGTTTAATTCCTCCTATTTGCTATCATTTTTCTGTTTTGGATAATCAATTGGTGTGATTATGTTGGAAATTACCTCTTCAATTGTTGTTATATTAATGATAAACACAAGACCCATTCGTATTTTTTTTCTTGCTTATTATTGTTCACGAATGTATAAATTGATGCTATATGTGGGTAATTGCCTCTTGAATTGTTATTAGATCACCTATAAACACAAGACCATTAGTATTTTTTTTGTTTCTTTTATGCTTGCTTCTTGTGGATTGATGGGGAAGAAGCAGGAGGTATCAAACCTCCTGATTTAACCAAACTCTATTACAAAGTATATATGATCAGCCCCTCAACTTTTGATTTGTACGGTTTTAGTCCCTTGCTCTAAAAAATAATTAAAAATCTAGTCTTAAACAAAGAAACTTCAATTAAAATCTTCAAAGTTTACCCTATTGAAATTTGGCATGTTTTTGTAATTTTTGTTTATACCACATTGGCTAAAAAATGAAATTTGGCATGTTATTGTAATTTTTGTTTAATAGCAACGTAATTCTAGTAATTTTAATTTAATTATAAAATAAAATAAAATTAATTTTTAAAAAATCAATAAAAATAATAAATTAATTGTAAAATCAAATTAAAGTAGTTTTAAAATCAAGTTAATGTTAATATTAAAATAAAATAAAATTAGTTTAAAAAATTAAACTAAATTAATATATATATATATATATATATATATATATATATATATATATATATATATATATATATATATATATATATATATATACTTCTTTAATATTTTATCCATTTCTAATTAGGTTATTAATAGTAACATACTTTTAGTGACTTAATGTTGGTCAATACAACTTTAGCTTAATTAGGTTATTAATAGCAATGTACTTCTAGTAATTCTAATTTAATTATAAAATTAAATTAAATTAATTTAAAAAAAATCAATAAAAAGTAATAAATTAATTGTAAATTCAAATTAAAGTAGTTTTAAAATCAAGTTAATGTTAATATTAAAATAAAATAAAATTAGTTAAAAAAATTAAACTAAATTAATGTGTGTGTGTGTTATATATATATATATATATATATATATATATATATATATATATATATATATATATATATACTCTTTTGATATTTTATCCATTTCTGATTATTTGTTCATGTGTTCCCATGTTGGGATACTTTTTGAATCAGCATCTTTCTGAATACTCTACCTGATATTCGTTTCCCGTAGAGTAAACCTTAAACACTAAATTATGTTTCAATTGCATCATGTCTATTGATAAAAGCTGGACTACTAATCCACATCGTGAATCTCCCGAGTTCCAGTTAGGACTCGACTCTTTTGTCGAGAGATCCATGTTACACTTAGATTGTAAAGGTGAAACCAGATGTCCGTGTGAGAAATGTGATAATCGTTACTTCATGGATCCGAAAGCAATGAGACGTCATGTTCGTATATATGGTTTTAGTCAATCATATGACACGTGGATATATCACGGTGAACCTTTAATCCCTCCAGTTGTAGATATTGGTGGTTGTCGAGGCCAACACAAATAATAACCCTAAATGTTACACACTAAAATAGTGTATAGTGGTAAAGGGATCGAATCCACGGAGATTGGTTCAATTTCTAACTCTATGAAAAATCTCTTTGTAAAAATACTTGTAAAATAACAATAAAAATAAAATGGGGGTTTTAGTGTTTTGAATACTTGATGCTAACTACAATTAACTATGATTTAAATAGACAATTGCAACAAAAATAAGAATTTGATGTAAAATCAATAAGGGAAAGATGGTTGACTTAAAGTTTTCTCACTTTGACTTTTGATGAACATATCATTAGAATTCAATGGTGCAATACTTGTTTTAAATCCTCAATTTGGCTATAGTAATCCAAGGAGCTTGAGATTACCTAGACTTTTCTTAATTGTTGAAATGGCTAGAGAAGCTCATAACAATTTCCTTAGTCAAAGTCACTAATTCCAAATAGCATGTAATTAGTGAAAGTCAACTAGCATTAAGAACCAAAAAGTCACCAAATCCAAGAGGGGTCAAATGCTTTCACCACCATGTTGGAGGAAATGTTTTTATGATTGTGTGAAGTAAAAACAACACAAAAATCATTTGTTGCTTGCTAATTTGAGGATCCTTTACTTAATCAAGAAATTAGCCAACTAATCACCACAAACACATTTAAACTCATGAACTAAAACATACAAGTAATGATAAGATGTTAAAACACAAAACATTTCCATAAAGATTCAAGAACATGTTCATGGATTCTTCAACATTCAACAAAAGTTCAAAGGATTAACAAAAGTCAACCAAGATTAGTTTAGCCAAGCATGGCTAAACACAAAGAAACAAAGTTAGAGAAATTTGTACCAAACATTAAGCAAGAATCAAGAGGTAAAAATATGATGTTCTTCAAGGGTTCTTGGCCTTCAAAAGTCTCCAAAACTCCAGAGAGAATCTCCAAAAATCGGATGTGCAAGTGTATGCAAAAGATGGGCACCAACCTTCCTCAAATAGCTCAAAAGAAGGAATTCCGAAATTGCCCCTGCAGGGCCTTGCGCGACCCGCGTGCTGCTGCGCGGGTGGGTTGCGCGGGTGGTACCTGACATGGGCTCCTTTGAGATTTTGGGCCTCTAAAGCATATCCCACTAGCCCAGATCGAATCCAATCACCTCCTAGCCCATTTTCTTCAAGTTTTTCTTCATTTAAAGCCCAATTTGACCTCTCTAAATCCTCCAAAGCTCGTGAACTCGCCCGATTAATAATTTTCATACGCTTGAATGTTCCCCCGCATCTTTCAAATTTAAAGCTCAATTCTTCCAAGCCTTCAAGTAATCATCAAGATCACTCTATGCATCATCTCCACTACCCATCAAGCCCAATGTCATTTTTGTCTACCAAATCTCATCGCCTCCTATACGTCCCGAACACTCCCGCTCCGCTAGACCCGAAAACCTGCAATTATGCTCACAAGATTCGAGAGTACCCGAAATAGTCATAAAATAACAAAAAGGAAAATATGCATGGAAATTATCTAAATTATGAATGAAATATGCTAAAATAAACTATAAAAAGAAGTAAATAAAATGAAGCTATCAAATCACCCCAAGCTTAAACCTTACTTGTCCTCAAGTAAGACAAGACTAAATGAACTTGGGATGAACTACCCTAGAAATAAAAAGAATGGATAGAACCATGGAACCTGTCGACGTTAGTCAACATGGTCAGAATTGATTTCGCTGCTATCTCACAACTTTTTCATCCGATGACAATGGAACCATAAACCACAGCCAGGACAACTCCTTTAGGTGAGTAAGGAGGGATGAGCAGTCGCAGCCTCAATGGAACATGTATACAATGAAGAACATCTGTAGTAGGGAGAAAGCAACTGGATGGGCTCGGGTGGAGCTCTTCTTTAAGTGCACACTCTGATCTCACATCTGCCGGTTTCTCTCATGTGTAACTAGGTTTAATCGCTCGGGCACCGTTGTAGGAATCAGTTCACTTAGTGTTGGCCCAAACCTCCCGTAGTATCCGACTCGACAGTCTCTCTAACATCACCAATTTGTGAGAAAGAAAAAAAATAACAACTCGATCTATATACAATAAAACAGATCTATACAAATGAATATCAAACGTCGGGTGACCAAGATGTTGGGAAATTTGTTCAATAATTGAACCGGCCACCTATCTAAGATAGTTGCGACTGAAAATTTGCATGCTTCATTTTGTTTTTGTTTTTTTTTTTTTTTTTTTTTTTTTTTTTTTTTTTTTTTTTTTTTTTTTTTTTTTTTTTTTTTGAGAATAAAACCCTTTGACTCAAAATTTGGTTCCCAAAGGTGTGTAGGTGGAACCGAAAGGGTAATGATATAATCCGAATGGCCTAAGTGTGAAAATGACCATGTGTGGAGCATAAAGATGTAATGTAAGCTCCTTTTCAAACTTGTGGTTTTTCAAAGATAATGAAAATGTCCAAATGTGGACTAAAAGACTCTCTAAATTCTAAGAAAATCGCAAAAAGATATGGTGATGTAAAGAGACCGGATATGGATTCTACTCGGGGACAAGCACCAATGCTTCATCCTAACAGTTCAAACATGATCAAGTGTGATCCTCTCCGCGGTAGTGACCGCAAGGCTAAGAACACCCATTGCTATAGTATATCCTACAGTTGTTAGTATTGTATGCATAATTCTTCATGAAAACTACCTGGCCATGATCACTTACCCCTTTAAGCTACCAGCATCTGATCCCAAGTATGAAATCCCAAACTGCAGCTAGTGGTCCCGATTCGATGGGTGAGATAGCAACAAGATCCTGGACCAATAATGATACAATAACTGTGAACCTGTTCCATGGCATCCAAGAGAGGTGAGAATAAACAGACAACAAAAATGCATGAATGCTAATGTCTTAAGCTAAATGTTATGCAAAAATAAAAAGTAGAAAAGAAGAAAATAAAATCTTTTTGAAATTTTATAAAATAAAAAAAAAATGAATGCAAATTAACTTAAACTAATATGTTATGCAACCTAACTAAAAATGCATGAAAAAGAGTAAAAAAAAATAAGGGAAATGCCCCACCCCAAGCTTAAGAACAAGCATTGTCCTCAATGCTTAAGGAAAGGGCGGAAAGGACCTAGATCGGGGGGTCGGGCGGCGGGAAATGCCCGTGGCGATGGTGGTAGTCCCACATATCCTGGAGCTGGCTGGAAGTGTGAGAGGAGGACTGCTCCAATCGATCAACACGGTTGCCACATCTAGGATGGCTCTCGAATTCTCTTGCGTTTGGGCGTCGATACGCTGCACCGTGGAGA